TGGAACCCACAATTGCTGATGCTCCAGATACTCAACTAGTCTCAAGAAGGCCAGTTTTATTGCTTCTTTAATCAGCACAACAGTTTTCAGCCGTGCTTACATAATTAGCCTTTTAAAATGATAAACTTGGATTAGCAAACACAACGTGCCATTGGAACACAGGACTGATGGTTGCTGATAATGGGCCTCTGTATGCCTATGTAGATATTCCATTAAAAATCAGCAGTTTCCAGCTACAATAGCCATTTACAACATTAACAATGTCTACACTGTATTTCTGATCAATTTGATGTTATTTTAATGGACAAAAAAATTGCTTTTCTTTCGAAAACAAGGACATTTCTAAGTGACCCCAAACTTTTGAACGGTAGCGTATATAAACTCAGCAAAAAAAAAGAAACGTCCTCTCACTGTCAACTGCGTATATTTTCAGCAAACTTAACATGTGTAAATATTTGTATGAACATTACAAGATTCAACAACTGAGACATAAACTGAACAAGTTCCACAGATATGAGACTAACAGAAATTGAATAATGTGTCCCTGAACAAAGGGGGGGTCAAAATCAAAAGTAACAGTCAGTATCTGGTGTGGCCACCAGCTGCATTAAGTACTGCAGTGCATCTCCTCTTCATGGACTGCACCAGATTTGCCAGTTCTTGCTGTGAGATGTTACCCCACTCTTCCACCAAGGCACCTGCAAGTTCCCGGATATTTCAGGGGGGAATGGCCCTAGCCCTCACCCTCCGATCCAACAGGTCCCAGACGTGCTCAATGGGATTGAGATCCGGGCTCTTCGCTGGCCATGGCAGAACACTGACATTCCTGTCTTGCAGGAAATCACACACATAACGAGCAGTATGGCTGGTGGCATTGTCATGCTGGAGGGTCATGTCAGGATGAGCCTGCAGGAAGGGTACCACATGAGGGAGGAGGATGTCTACCCTGTAACGCACAGCGTTGAGATTGCCTTCAATGACAGCAAGCTCAGTCCGATGATGCTGTGACACACCGCCCCAGACCATGACGGACCCTCCACCTCCAAATCGATCCTGCTCCAGAGTACAGGCCTCGGTGTAACGCTCATTCCTTTGACGATAAACGCGAATCCGACCATCACCCCTGGTGAGACAAAACCGTCAGTGAAGAGCACTATTTGCCAGTCCTGTCTGGTCGAGCGACCGTGGGTTTGTGCCCATAGACGACGTTGTTGCCGGTGATGTATGGTGAGGACCTGCATTACAACAAGCCTACAATCCCTCAGTCCAGCCTCTCTCAGCCTATTGCGGACAGTCTGAGCACTGATGGAGGGATTGTGCGTTCCTGGTGTAACTCGGGCAGTTGTTGTTGCCATCCTGTACCTGTCCCGCAGGTGTGATGTTCGGATGTGCAGGTGTTGTTACACGTGGTCTGCCACTGCGAGGACGATCAGCTGTCATCCTGTCTCCCTGTGTCACGATCGTCTGGGTAAGGAGTAGTAGACCAAGGCGCAGCGTGTGAAATAAACATGACTTTATTTAATTAAAGTTCCTAAATATAAACAAAACACAATTCGTGAAGTCCACGGTTAAACATACCGTCACGGAACAAAAACCCACAAACACAAGGTGAAGACACACAGTTTAAATATGGCTCCCAATCAGAGATAACGAGCCGACAGCTGACACTCGTTACCTCCGATTGGGAGTCACTCAATACAAACATAGACATCGACAACCTAGACACCCAACATAGAACCTGAACACATAGAATGCACACACCCTGGCTCAACATAATGAGTCCCAGAGCCAGGGTGTGACACCCTGTAGCGCTGTCATTGCAATTTATTTTCCCTGGCCACATCTGCAGTCTTCATGCCTCCTTGCAGCATGCCTAAGGCACGTTCACGCAGATGAGCAGGGACCCTGGGCATCTTTCTTTTGGTGTTTTTCAGAGTCAGTAGAAAGGCCTCTTTAGTGTCCTAAATGTTCATAACTGTGACCTTAATTGACTACTGTCTGTAAGCTGTTAGTGTCTTAACGACCGTTCCACAGGTGCATGCTCATTAATTGTTTATGGTTCATTGAACAAGCATGGGAAACAGTGTTTAAACCCTTTACAATGAAGATCTGTGAAGTTATTTGGATTTTAACTAATTATCTTTGAAAGACAGGGTCCTGAAAAAGAGATGTAACTTTTTTTGCTGAGTTATATATATATATATATACACACACATACACACACACACACACACAAACACATATATATATATATATATAGACAATTTTGACTTTGCTCTGCCTCCAGAACAAGAATCATCCCAGTTTTCAAGGGAGATGTGAGAGAACCACCAGCTGAATGTGTAAATTAGGACCCCACCACCTTCTGACAGTACAGTACAGTATAGTATATGACAAGACCTGTGTGTGTGTACGTGCATTTTGTCATTACATGTAGCCAATCATAAAAGACCTACTGCGTGCACTATAGACACATAGGTTGTACCTCTGTCACGTCATGCCATTGTTATGAACGTTCTCAAGCCGCCCTCTGCCGGCGATATAGTGGTGCCCTAAAGTGATGATAAACCCAGTCATTCTGGGCGGAGGTTACCTACTATTTTGTGCCTGGAAAAACGATTACATTGCTGAAGTAGTCAAATATTTAGTAGGAAACAACTTTACCAGCCTTATCCTGTCATCAAATTTACTTTAGACATATGGCAATGTTGTCATTTGCTAGCAAAGTTCGTCAGAAATAGCTAGCAATGCTAACGTTAGCTAGCTAAAATCCGGTGGCCTTCCATCAAGCTAGCTAACGTTATACTGCATTTAAAGTCAATCTGGCGAGATCAAAACGATGACAAAAGGTTTTCCTAATAATTATTTGACTACTTTTGAATGTCATAGTATTTCCAAGCCACTAATGCACGTTGGATTAAATCTTCCATCAGCGCTCATTGACAATGCATTGAGTAGAATGCTCAGTCGGGCATCAGTCCAAAACGAACGTCAAAACAATATTGTGACGAAACATGCAAAGCATTTTGAGCATACTAACCATGAATAATAACGCTGACAAAATATAGTGCCCTATGAGTCCTGGTAAAAAGTAGTGCGCTGTATAGGAAATAGGGTGCCATTTGGGATGCCAATTGAATGGGGGTCAGTTGGTGTTGTTCTGTGCAAAACCACTCCAATGTTGACATATTGATTTTGTGCTAAAACATCAATACACTACACCAGGGCTATTCAACTATATTCTTACGGAGACTAGATGTAAAAAAGGTTAATTGCAAGGTGGCCAGACATTTTCCACATTCAATTACTCTTCAGAAGAACTGCATAAAAAAGCAACGCAACCACCAATAAAGCACTTTTCTTAAAATTAAATGTTGCTAAAAGTATTTAGGATAGAAGTGGAGAGCACTCAACCAACGTGAATCGATGTGCAACCCAAAAATGTGATCATCATAGAAAAGGAGCAATGGTCGCTCACCATTATTTTGTTTTATTTAAACAACTAGCCTATTAATAGCTTCTTAAAAGTAATAAGTCATTTTTAAATCATCTGAAAACTAAGCATCTCAATAAATAAAACAAAGATATTTCATATCAGGTAATGCCAAATTCCAGTCTGAAGGAAGTAAGTATGCTTTGAATTCATTTCCCTCAGTCATTGGGTGCGTTTTTTGTCACAGTCCCTTCTAACAAGTCCTTGTGAGTACCAGAGAGGGAAACAGAAGGCACATATGTGTTAGACTGGTAGCTTTCAGGAATGGGGTCATAATATTTTGTAACTTAAACCGTTGAAACACTAAAGCCAAATGTATTTTAGCGGTTTCTAGGTGCTAGAAACCGCTAAAAACCACAGTGCTTGTCATTTTGGCACTGAACGTCAGATTTTTGCAGGGATTTCTTTGCAGATATTTTTTTAATGTTCAGAATTGATCAAAGGGCCAGTATAAATTAATAAACTGATCTGGCCTGCGGGCCGCCAGTTGAATAGCCCTGCACAACATAATATAATTTCTGACCACATGGCTGCTAACATTGAGAGAGTTATTTGGATTGCAGGAGAAATTCTTTGTGCCACATAAATATTTGCAAGGAAGAGTTCAATATTGAACCACTATATTGACGTGTATACATTCACAGTGATTCGAACTATGATCATGGCTTCTTGTGTTGATAAATCTTCCATCGACTGGACATTATGAAACATAAAATAGGTCCCACAAAATTACAATCAAAGGGGAAGAAACTGCGTTGTTGAAATAACAGGGCATATACCCACCACTTGCATACAGTAAACCACTCTTCAGTGTAACAAGCACTTCAATTCATATACGGTAATTGAAATATTGAGGTTTGCCCTGAAGAGGGCACAACATCATTGCTTTTGCTGAGGAGAAAAGCTAATGGGAAAGATATGGGGATATTACAGGTGTAGGGAGATATTATTTCCACACTGCACATCTTTCTATTTCAAATAGTTAGACGACACAATCTCACTGGATTACTGAAAGACCACATTATTTAGGCTAATGATTATAAAGCATTTTTATTGTGGAAATGTAGCCTACAGTATAAACAAGCTCAATAGAAGAAACAATGGAATGCAATGATACCAGAAATAGCCTACAATCACATCGAAACCCATTTTGAAAAGATTGCCCGATATAGGCTTTTAAAAAATTGTCAAACATATTGAATTGAAAACATGGTTTTGGCCGTGTTCGAGAGGATCAAAACCGCAGTGTATCATTGGTAAATTGTGACGGACTGACTGATCTACAAATAATAATTAGTCGTTATTTATGGTGATTTGTAAATCAGTCGATGCAAGGTGATTTGTAAATCAGTCAGTAGCAGTCACTTTGATTCTCTGGAACACGGCCAGTGCCTGTATGACAGCTAGCAGAAGAGCAATACCATCTACGTCAGAGACGAACACACGGACTCTCCGCCTTGCCTTACCTTACCTTCTTCCTCTCACATAGAGAGAGCGAGAGAGAGAGAGAGAGAGAGAGAGAGAGAGAGAATGAAAGAGCAGCCCTCATCAGTACCACTGCGATGACACTTCTGTAGCCTGTGATCACGGCTACAGACCAACTTCTGTCAACTCGAATTTTCATAATTAACGGTTTTTGGACCGTTGCTCGACTGTGAGGACAACCAACACTTACTCTTAACAACTAACTAACCAGCTACAGTCCTGTGAACATTTCGTGGGTGCGTTTGTTTCCCTTATGTCCCGAAAATCGAGCGACAATGACTATAGTCTTCGTAGTATGAGCAACCTGATGGGTGAGAGGAGGAAGAAAGTGAACGATGACGGAGAGCGGAGCCTCATCAAAGCTCCGTCCAACGCGAGCATCAACAGCCAGGCTGTCGCTGTCCCTGCCAATGAAGCTGCCTCCACCGGGGACCTGGAGAGAGAGGCGCGTAAACAGTTCCAGCAAGATGTCACACCTGCGTTTGTTTATGTTCTGGCTGCGTTCTCCGCGCTGGGTGGCTTTCTGTTCGGCTATGACACCGGGGTGATCTCGGGAGCGATGCTCCTGCTCAAGAGGGAGATGAATCTCAGCGCCCTATGGCAGGAGGTTCTGATCTCTAGTACAGTGGCTGCCGCCGCGCTGTCCGCGTTGGCCGGCGGGTTTTTGAATGGAGTTTTCGGGCGCAGGGTCTGCATCCTCCTGGCTAGTTTTATCTTCACAGCTGGGGGAATAGTGCTTAGCGCAGCTCCCAATAAGGAGGTTCTCCTGGTCGGACGTCTCATTGTCGGGCTTGGACTTGGTAAGGTGTCTCTTTAGTTTCTGCAACTTTTCACTTGTTTACTTATCTCATTCACAAGACATTTCCGCCCATGCGCAATTAGCCTGTTTACAGGTAGGGTAAAAAAATTAAAATAAAGTAATTGCCTACACAAAAAAGCAAACTTTGGTAAGAATTAGGTATGTCGACACAGAAAATAAGTGGACACAGTTGACAACTTTTTAGTTATTAAAATACAAATTCTAGAAAAGGGGTGTCTTGCCCAACTTTGGGGCAAGATGCCCGCTGGGGCAAGAGGCCCGCTGAAAATTAATTTGTTAAAATCCATTTAATCAGTTTTATTTAGTCATTTTTGAGTAATTCACTCTTGAAAGCTAGTTATCATATTTTTATTAGACAAATCAAATATCAAAACAAAATGGCATTGCACATCTCACTATTAATAACCTATGATGAGGTTATGATGTAGGCCTAACACTCTTTAAAAATATATATATATCTTAAATCCCAGCAGATGCTAGCTCATGCTAACTAACTAGCTAACTCACATTCCTACTCAAAATCAACATTTCTATTGTATGATTTATTTCTGCAGTTTAAAATATTGTATGATTTATAACCTCCAGATTCACCTGAAATTGGCTTACATTAATGCTAGAAACAAATTCCCAACCTAAAAGGGGTAAGATGCCCCTGGGGTTTTCAGGGTTTTACATATAGAATATCAGAGGAGGCATTTAGCTATAGGGCCTAGGCTATATATTTCAAAATGCTATTGGTAAGATTTTTGCAACTGATGTTACCAATCACATCATGGTTTGTGTCCGATTGTGATTGGTCCCCGAGCCTATAGGAGGCCATTTTGAAATACACTGCTCAAAAAAATAAAGGGAACACTAAAATAACACATCCTAGATCTGAATGAATGAAATAATCTTATTACATACTTTTTTTCTTTACATAGTTGAATGTGCTGACAACAAAATCACACAAAAATTATCAATGGAAATCAAATTTATCAACACATGGAGGTCTGGATTTGGAGTCACCCTCAAAATTAAAGTGGAAAACCACACTACATGCTGATCCAACTTTGATGTAATGTCCTTAAAACAAGTCAAAATGAGGCTCAGTAGTGTGTGTGGCCTCCACGTGCCTGTATGACCTCCCTACAACGCCTGGGCATGCTCCTGATGAGGTGGCGGATGGTCTCCTGAGGGATCTCCTCCCAGACCTGGACTAAAGTATTGATTCATCAATCTTACTCACAGTAGGCTCTTCCTGATAATTATCTTTGTCAAATTAATTATCTTTGTTAGTGTCAGCATGATAACACTATCTAGGAATTACATCACATAACCTTGATTAATCAAACAGAATTCATTTTTTACTATGGCACAGGCAGTCTACCTGCCTGCCTGTGTGTGTGCATGTGTGTATGTTCAGTTATGTGTAGACTATAGTCTCCATACTGCCGATTTCTCTAGCCTCTTTTTTGTTCACTCCCTCTTGGTCTCATCCCCCTCCTCTCTCTGTTTCTCTCTCTCTCTCTCTCTCTCTCTCTCTCTCTCTCTCTCTCTCTCTCTCTCTCTCTCTCTCTCTCTCTCTCTCTCTCTCTCTCTCTCTCTCACACACATACTCACACACACATACTCACACACACAGAGTAGACTCTCACTCTCTTCTCCCTCAATATTACCCCACAGACACATCAATCTTTCAAAACATATTGAATTGTTATTATTTTCCCAAGATTGAAAGAGGCAGTTTATCTAGCCATCGAATTTGAATGCATGAGCATAAGGCTGCATACCTATTGTAAAATATAGTGGTGGACCTTTGATGTTATGGAGCTATTTTGCTCCCACATGGATATCAAGGATCTGGAAGGATTCTGTATGGAGGAATGGTCTAAGATCCCTCCCATTTTAGAAAAAGGCTTAATGCCGTTATCCTCGCAAGTAAGGTATTAAAAACAGGGATGTGAGAAAAACAATTATTACTTGTTAAACAAAATCTCTTTCTCTGAGCAATTTTTTTAGCATAACAGAATATAATTTTCCCTTTTTTTGCATACAGTATACCTCAGTATTTTATACAGTCATTTTTGCTCATCTTTATAAATAATTTCGGACCCCACTGTATTCCGAGCGTACCCTGTCACACGTCCAATCACATTTACATGACGGCAGGCCGGGCTCTTCATAACTTTAATTGCTTAGCATTTCTGAGGGAAAGCGGGAAGGTCATTCTTGGCGTTTGTCAGGAGGAGGCAGAAATGCGTACCTTTGACTGGTCTTTAACACAAGCCTGGGGTTTGGTCCATCTCAATATCTTGGGCCAATTACTGGTGAGTTGACCTTTAGGTGAACACATGGGAGAGCTGGGGGAGAACTGTGCGGAGTCCCAAATGGCACCCTATTTCCTTCACAGTGCACTACTTTTGACCAGGGCCTATAGGGCTCTGGTCAATAGTGAACAAAATAGGGAATAGGGTGCCATTTGGGACGCATCCTTGTTCTGTGGTATGACTATAAGGCACAGAATGATGATGATCTGTTTCTATTGAATGATATTGTCCGTTTTATTATTGGCAGATAGGTATTTATTGACCAACAACATTGAAGTCCTCATTTGATCTCAATCAAAACATACCTTAACTGATTGAAAAATTACTTAATGATGGTGTTAAATCAGGTTTCCTGGATATTACGAAAGGTGTCCTGCAAGGGTCGATTCTGAGTCCTAGTAAATTTTTCTGTTTACATTAACAATATCAACTTGTCTGCAAAACATTTTAACATGCACTTGTATGACGATGATACTGTTGTGTATACTATTGGCCCCACGGTTGACCTTGCTCTATCTGAACTACAGTCTGACTGTTGTATTTCAGAAAAACTTTATTGACCTGAAATGAGTACTGAATGCAGGTAAAACTAAGTATATGTTGTTCTCTTGCAGGTAAAACTAAGTATATGTTGTTCTTTAGAGCGCATAATAATATGTTTGATGATTTGAGCATATGTACTTTGGATATTGCATATTGATGTGTTAGTTAAGAAGCTGAGAATAAAAATGGTCTTCTATAGACATAGGTTCTGCCTCTCGCTAAATAATAGAAAGCAGATTATTCAGTCGACGTTCCTATTGGTCCTAGACTATGGCGACATCATCTATATGAACGCAGCTGCCACTTCTTAAAGCCGTTAGATGCAGTTTATCATAGCGCATTGCACTTCATTACAGACAACAATTTTAATACTCATCACTGCATTCCCTACCAGAAAGTTGGTTGGCCCTCTTTGATGTCACGTAGGTTGATACATTGCTATGTTTTCATTTATAAAGCCATTTTACAAAAAGTCCCACTGTAACTAACATCATTACTAAACTTTAGACATATGAGTTACCACACACAGTCTCAGGGATGGCTAACTCTGGAAATTCCTTTGGTCTTTACTGAGTTAGGGAAATCAGCTTTTTGTTTTCTTGCACCTTATTTGTTGAACAATCTTTAAAAAAAAATCTGAAATTGGATGTTTTGGTGCCTCTAGGGCAATTCAGAAAGCTGATTGAGGACCTTATTACTGATGAATGTGTTTGTTTTTTATGACCGTGTTTTTCTTTCTGCTTGCATTTCGTATTGATAGTTTGATGTGTGTATTTTCTGTAAAGTAGACCTTGGTCTCAGAATGAGTCCCATATAAAATAAAGGTGAAATAAAAGAAGACTTTCTTACTGTGGATGGGATATTTCAGTCTGATCCTGAAAATCCATGACCCCTACTGCAGTAGCATGCACCTTTTGAATTATAGAGAGTGCTACTAGTCCTCCATTGAAACCCACAGTGTGAATTCCATGACTTCCACAGGGTGACAACTTGCCATAAACAGAAAGCCTTTGACACATGATGCTAGTTCCTTTCAGGACTGTGTGTGCCGCTGTCCTTTGTCCTGAAATGAGAGGTCATTATAATGGATGGCTGTGACTGTGAGAGTCTTGGTGCTGGTGGACTCCACATGTGTCTGAGAACTGAGTAAAGGCCTGGAGAGACCAGAGAGACTGACCAAAGGCTGTCGATGATAACAAGAGGGGGAGGAAAGGAGGGCTCTCCCACTCTCTCAGAACCCACCCAGCAAGCCGGGAACATTCCTAGAACATTAGCTAATAAAAAAAGAGACGGAGACGCAGAATATTGACTTAATATGAAATCATATGAAATAATCTAATCTTACGCAGAGGTAATATTGAAAAGGCAGTTGTGTTCTGTCCACAGCTCCACCAATCTGTCTTCCATCACCTCGGTCCACATGGTGCGTGTTGTTGTTGCTTTCCACTTCGCCATCATTGTTTTGGTCTCACATGCTGAGTCGTCATTGGCTATTGGCAGTAGTCCTTGCCCAATCGCGTCATAGCACTTCTCATACTGCAAGTTGCATGGCCAACATTTCTGACGTCAGAAAATTATCGGGACATCCAACAGGGGTCTGGAAAACGGAACAGCCATCATCGGTGTGTCCTTGACTCGCTCAGATTAGGCGCGTCCCGACGTACTGATCCTATCCCAAATTCATAGGATTTCACCCCGATCATGAAAATGTGTCTGGGACTGCAAAAACGTGGCGAATTTGTGGCCAAATCGTGTAGTGTATGTCCTGCATTAGGGATTTATCTAACATTAGGATAACATCCCAAAAACATTCACTCTCTCTCTAGCTGTCTCTCTGTCTCTGTCTCTTTCTCTGTCTGTCTCTCTCTCTCTGCCTCTCTCTCTCTCTCTCTCTCTCTCTCCTTTATTTTAATCCACAATAAAAACTTTCCAACATAATAAACCCTCCTATACTCTTAATTGCATTCACAACCATGTGTTTGGTTCAGTTATTTGTTCTGTTCTCTGCTTGCGTATGATGAAAATAAAATGACTAACATGTCAAATGTGGATGTAGAGGAGCGGCCGTTGACAGAAGAGCAAACCGAGTAGAACCTTTTATCAATGTTGAAGCATGCTCAGCTCTAGTTGTTTACTTGGTGGTGTTACCCACTGGAGGAACTGGGTATGCATGCTTTTTCTCCAGTCCTGCATTAACACACCTGACTGAAATATTAAACTAATCAAGGACCTCACTCTGAGTCTGGACCATGATCAGCTGAATCAGGTGTGTTAGGCTACTGCAGGGCTGGAGCAAAAAAATCTGCACACCTAGTAGCTCTACAGGTGCAGTTGGTAACTCTATGAACCACACATCTAGGGTTGGTCACCCCAGGTGTGTACCGTATGAACGACACCCCTAGGGTCCCTACCTTTAACAGTAGGACCCATCCCTCCAGCCCTTACTCCTGGGTTTCAAAAAAAATGAATGAAACGCCAATAAAAATGTCTCACGTCTCCCAGATAATGATTTACCCCAGCCGGTGTCGTATAATGGCAAGGCTGCATGGTGAATCAAGCTGTTCCCATGGCAACAGGTAGCTACGTCATCTGCCGGGCAACTGAAGGAGAGACAGGAAGCAGTGCACTGTGGGTGCTATTAATAGTCCCTTATCGGTGTGTGCGCAGAGCGGAGCCGTGATGTCACGGCCCTTGTCAGATTAATCCGGGCAAACACATGTTGTTTGTTCTAGCAGTCAGTGTAAATATGTAGTAGTTTTGGCATGGTCTGTGGCTGCAGCAGCTGAGAACACCACTGACTTACATACTGTATAGGCTACAGTATCTCTGATGGAGTGGATGCACCTGAGATCTATGTTGTAGATCTGGTTACAGAGATGACTGATGTTGTGGTTGATGTTGTTTAGTCTGTCAGACATGATTGATGTTGTTTACAATGATGAGGGCTCTAGTGCCCTATTGGCTAGTGTGTGATTGGTGCAGCAGCTCTGAGGTTGAGTGTTTTGATTGGTCAGGTTCTCTAGATGAGGGATGTGGCTGAGGACACTCAGCTTCCACTTGATTGACAGATGTAGAGGAGTGTGGAGAGGATATGTTGTTTAATGCCTAACTCAGACCCTATACCACTGTACTTGAATGAGGTAAACCAGTGAACTGAACTAATCATAAAAGCTGAATTTACACTTATCCATAAACTTTGACTGTACTGTATGATCCGGGGTAAAGTTTCCCCTAGGTGCAGATCTGGTATCAGCTTCCCCTCCCCCAATCCTAACCTTAACCATTAGTGGGGTACTGATCCGAGATTAACGTCTAGGGGCATTTTCACCCTACACTGTACAGTTTTACACTCCTCATCTTCCCTCTGCCCCATCCCACATGAGTAGGTATTGCGTCCATGACGGTGCCAGTGTACATAGCTGAGGCGTCTCCCCCCCACCTGAGAGGCCAGCTGGTGACAGTAAACACACTGTTCATCACGGGAGGTCAGTTCACTGCCAGCATCATAGACGGGGCCTTCAGCTACCTACGCCACGATGGATGGAGGTGAGACACACACACACACACACACACACACACACAATTGCTGTATATGCCTCTTCTTTTAATATCTCAATGATTTTACATGGTACATCATTTACCACACTTACATCAGGATTGAATTGAGAATGCCTCATATATTCCAATTCAATTCTTGAATTTGAATTGGATTTTAATTTAAGTAAGTAGTAAACAGGATACAGAATTGCAATTCGAATTTAAATGAAAGTAAATAGAATTTAATTAACTGAAATTCAAATGCTTCTATTCTAAACTGAATGTACAAAATATTAAGATGCTGGCCCATGTTGTCCTTTGGGTGGTGGACCATTCTTGATGCACACAGGAAAATGTTGAGCATGAAAAATTCAGCAGCAATGCAGTTCTTGACACACTCAAACCAGTGCCCTGGCACCTACTACCATACCCCATTCAATGGCACTTAAGCCTTTTGTCTTGCCCATTCACCCTCTGAATGGCACACATACACAATCCATGTCTCGAATGTATCAAGGCTTAAAAATCCCCCTCATCTACACTGATTGAAGTGGATTTAACAAGTGACATCAATAAGGGATCATAGCTTTCCCCTGGATTCACCTGGTCAGTCTATGTCATGGAAAGAGCATTGTTCATAATGTTTTGTACACTCAGTGTCTACAAAACACAAGAAAATCACATTTTTGACTGCACTGGGCCTTTTGACTGCACTGGGCCTTTCACTTCTTTATATTCTGGTCTGTCTACAGTAACAAGGTTTCAGTGGGATATATCAGGTGTTGGGATAACTGTCGATTTCTGTATTGGGAATGCTTCCAAGTGGTCTCCTGAGTGGCGCAGTGGTCTAAGGCACTGCATCGCAGTGCTAACTGTGCCACTAGAGATCCTGGTTCGAATCCAGGCTCTGTCGCAGCCGGCCGCGACCGGGAGACTCATGGGCGGCGCACAATTGGCCCAGCGTCGTCCAGGGTAGGGGAGGGAATGGCCGGCAGGGATGTAGCTCAGTTGATAGAGCATGGCGTTTGCAACGCCAGGGTTGTGGGTTCGATTCCCACGGGGGGCCAGTATAAAAAAAATATGTATTCACTAACTGTAAGTTGCTCTGGATAAGAGCGTCTGCTAAAAAAAAATGACTAATGACTACAGACATTGAAATGTAGCCAACTAGTTTCAGTAAGTTTTTTAAAATTCATCCATCTGTCATCTGTGAATCATATCACATCAGATGGCAGGTCCAGTCTGGACTAGCAGTTCAGATCAGATCAGTATAAATGTCAGCAGCACAGATGTGGATCCTCATCCTGCCTCCAGCTGATGGAACATTCACTCAGAGCAGAGCAGGGATATGTTCAAAAGATGACATCAGCTTATTTTTTATTGTAAATCTAAATGCTACGTTGTCGTCGAATAAAATGTGCTTCAGTTAGGTTCAAACACAGCCTCCCACTGTTTTTAGATATGAGTGGCACTGGCACCTTGTAAAATGAGTATTGATTTGTCTTGCTATAAGTCGTTATTCAGAACAGCTTCCTTGAACTTGCCACAGCTAATTGTCAAGTGCTGGATTTATTTGAACGTCTCTAAAAGCCGTAGCTGTCAGCGTGTGTGTCCTTGCATTGTTATTTTTTTTACTGATTTGACAAGTTGCTTTTTGTGCCACCACTGAGTCCTTGAAAGTTTAGTTTTAATTATGTGCTCTGCTCTGTGGGAGACCTCTATTTGACAGTCAACCCTGTGAAGCCTTTGAAAAATGTTCAATGACACAACAGAGTTGTTACGTTAGGCTATTATTCACAATGTTGTTAGCCTGGTAATGATTTGATGTGGGTCCTGAGAAATTAAATCAAATCAAATGTTATTTGTCACATGCTTCGAAAACAACAGATGTGGACTAACAGTGAATTGCTTACTTACGTGTCCCTATGCATTGTTGGAAAAGGACCCATATGTACCTCCCCCGACTTAATAATTATCATAAAAAACAAACGTCATTACCATCACAATAAACTTAAAAGGGGGCAACAGTCATAATATTATTGGCTTAAGAGCCAATGTGTATTATTTAACATTTTAAAATAGCCCTCACTTATAGGAATGGGTAATTGTTTAAAAGTTGCTAGCTATCCCATTAAGCCATCACTGAAAACACATATTTTCATCTTCTGTGTTTTTTTGGTAACTACCTGTTCTTTGACGGACTCTGGCTAGACTGAAGACGACACAACGTTTGGAACATTTTAAAGTCTGTCTCGCAACGGAGCCTTCAACTGCAAGGTTGGCATTGCCATTCTACTCCGTTGTGGACCTCCCCATTGAAGTGCATGACATCAGGCGCAACGTATGTAGGGGTAATGTGAACGAGGCTTAAGTAGACTACAGACGTGTATGCTGGAACATTGCTACATTGTGGGAGGCAACCCATCAGTGGTCCCTGCTATGCTCCAGCTCATGGGGTTTCTCCTCTCACCCTCAGATGAAACTGCTAATTTATCTCTATGTCTCTCTCCTCTCTCTTCTCCTCTCTTTTTCCATCCTTCACCTCCACCCGCTCTCCCCCCTCTCTCCCTATCCTCTCCTCCCCCTCTCCAGGTATACTTTATGTTGGGTCTATGGGTGGTTCCTGCTGTGCTGCAGTTCATGGAGTTTCTCCTCTCAAAGATGAAACAACTAATATATTCAATTCTCTCTCTCCCTCGCTACCCCCTTTCTCCCCCTTATATCCTCCCCCTCTACAGGTGGGCATGCCAGTGGTCCCTACTGTGCTCAGGTTCATGGGGTTCCTCCTTTTGCCAGAGAGTCACTCTCACAGAGGAAGCAACTAATATATCGCTCTCTCCCTCTCTCCATCTCCCCCCCCCCCCCTCTCTCCCCCTCTTCTCCTCTTCTCCAGGTATATGTTGGGTCTGTCGGTGGTCCCTGCGGTGCTCCAGTTCGTAGGGTTTCTGTTCTTGCCAGAGAGCCCCCGCTGGCTTATCCAGAAAGGCCTTACCCAGAAGGCCCGGCGCGTGCTCAGCCAGATTAGAGGCAATCAGAACATTGACGAGGAGTACGACAGCATCAAGAACAGCATCGAGGAGGAGGAGAAAGACTGCGGAGGAGGTGAGAGGGGAGCAGGAGGCGCAGGAGAAGCACACACACATATACACACGTAAATGAATTAATACATGAATGGATTCATCAACGAACATGCCCATGTGCGCTCTCTCTCTCTCTCTCTCTCCCCCCCTCTCTCTCTCTCTCTCTCTCTCTCCCCCCCTCTCTCTCTCTCTCCCTCCCTCTCTCGCTCTCTCTCTTCTCTCCTCTCTCCTCTCTCCTCTCTCCTCTCTCCTCTCTCCTCTCTCCTCTCTCCTCTCTCCTCTCTCTCTCGCTCGCTCTCCCTCCCTCTCTCTCTCCTCAGACGAGAAAGCTTTATTAGGCCGTTATATAATCTCTGTTACACTCCCATGATGTTGGACAAAACAGTTAGCCTCTTCTGAGTGTCACAAAACTGCACTAAAAGTCAGTCTGTCAGAGCCAGGTGACTCAGACTAGACTCCGAATAGGACATTGAAAAAAAATCTCAGTTTTTCTATGAACATTTTCTGAAAGAAGCGCATTTATGGTAGTCACTGTGTCTCCAGTGAAGGTCAGTGCTAACGTGAATGTATATGTGTGAGCATATGGGAATATATGGGTCAAGGCATGGCCATAGACCTAAGCACTGAATCAAACTCAATGAAACCACCATACATGATAAACTGCACATATCCACTTGTTGACATGAATAGCTGATATACACATATATTGAAAGTAGCCTATATGGACAAGCAATGGTTTATTTTTGTTATATATATATATATATATATATATATATATATATATATTTTTTTTTTTTTAGGGGGTAGATCAGCTTTAATATTGCAGATAGATTGTAACTTCCATCAATGTAATTGTCTGCATCACTTCCAATCCCCCATATGTTTTTTTTCTCACAAATATATATACATACATACATACACACACATACATATACACATGCATACATATAAATACATATACATACATATATATATACATATCCTTTAAAAAAATATATTTCCCTTTATTACTTTCCAACCCCACCACCCCTTCCCTAATTGGAGTAAACTAGCGAACAACAATGCTTAGGCCTCTACTTCCAGCTTATACATACTATATACATTTTATGGACACAGTCAATTTTACAATAATTCTATTTTGTTTGTTTTTACTCCTGAACTTCCTCTACCCTCAACCTCTCCGATCATTTTCATGATGTCCATCCGGTTTGCTTCTATATGCCATATCTTTCTAACTGTGCTCTTTCACAAAAGCTCTCAACCTATAACCTATATACTTATTATGGACATAGTATGCTTTACATTAGTGTTCTTGTTGTTATTAGTTGTTGTTAGTTGTTATTAGTCCCATCCTTCAACTCCATTCAACACCTCCCATCTATCTCTTAACACCATCCATATTGGATTTCTATTTGCCTTATATTTTTCAACTGTACTGTGATGTTTTACAAAAGTTCTGAACCCTTCTATTCTCATTGTTTCTACAGATTGTAAATTGAAAATAAACATTTTTGCTAAAAGTATTATTATATTATTGATCGATTGCCTATGACTTTTCAGATCACCCAGTAGTGCTATCTGCAGGGTTAGCTCCAGATAAATATTGCAATCCTTTAGCCATTCCAGGACTTGTGTCCAAAAACAAGCTACAAATGGACAGTACCAAAACAAATGATCTAATGATTCTGTCTCTTCGCAGCAAAATCTGCAGAGCTGGGAAGATTGTATCCCCCATATAAATAACATTCTATTGGTAGCAAGAATTTTGTATAATAATTTAAATTGAAAAATTCTAAGTTTTGAATCCGGCGTATTAGTTTTGCGTATCAGTTTATAAACACTATGCCATGGAATCGGTACGTCAAAAATCTCTTCCCAACTATTTTGCAATCTATATGGGACGGCTGTCAATCCTTTGGTCCTTAAATGAAACTGGTATACTTTTTTATTTATCACAATTTTCTTTAACCAATTATGTTATTTAATGCAGGGCCGACAGAAAAGTTCCTTACTTTTTCCCCCTTCCACTCTCCTTTTCCATTTTAGCTGTAATGCTGCAATTATTTGGTTGTAATTTTGGGTAGAGCAGACATTTCCATATGTTTTTGTTAGATGCATGGGCGACATAACTCTACCAGTCCTACCTATGATATCATTTACGAAGATTATACATTTTTAAAACATTTTTTCAAAAAATTATGGTTTTTTATCAATTAGTATATTTGAGTTTAACCACAATATTTGTTGCATTATTTGTTCTATCATTTCTGGAGGATTACATTGAAATTGCAACCAACTTTCTATGGCTTGTTTTATAAATAGAGATATTTGGGAGATGATTTCCTTTTCAAATAACTGAAAGTGAGAGGTTGTAATCTGAATAAAGGGAAAAAGGCCATTCTTGAACATGGGGTGAGACAACCTTACTAATTTGCTAGAGAACCAGTTCGGATTTAAGTATAACTTTTGTATGACTGAAGTTTTTAGTGATAGGTCTAATGCTTTAATATTTAATATTTATGGGGTGGCATGTGGGTAAGAGCATTGTGCCAGTAACCGAAAGGTCGCTGGTTCTAATCCCCGAGCCGACTAGGTGAAAAATCTGTCGGTGCCCTTAAGCAAGGCACTTAACCCTAATTGCTCCTGTAAGTCGCTCTGGATAAGAGCGTCTGCTAAATGACTTAAATGTAAAAAAAATGTAATCATTTCTGTTCTCCGAATTCATATTCATTATATAAATAGGCCGTTTAATTTTGTCTGGCTTGCCGTTCCAAAGAAAATTGAATATTCTTTTCTCATATAATTTAAAAAACTGTTCGCTAGGCGTAGGCAAGACCATAAGAAAATAGGTAAACTGGGATAAAACTAAAGAGTTAATCAGGGAGATTTTTCCACAAATTGACAGGAATTTACCTTTCCATGGTAGCAAGATCTTATCTATTTTTGCTAACTTTCTATTAAAATGTATTGGAGTGAGATCATTTATTTCATTTGGGATATGTATTCCGAGTATATCCACATCACCATCAGATAATTGTATTGGTAAACTACATGGTAATGTAAAAATGTTATTTTTTAGTGATTCAATACGTAATATAGTACATTTATCATAATTTGGTTGTAATCCAGAGAGGTTAGAAAATGTATCTAGATCCTCTATGAGTGTCAGTAGCTGAGTGTAGATGCGGTGTGGAAATCAAGCGCAGGAAACACGGGCGTTCGTGAACAGACTTTAGTCAACGAAAGCAGTACCAAACAGGCGAACAGCCAACCCAACCGGGAGGCAAAATACAAATTACGCACAAATAAACACAGTGCGTAAAACAACGATAGCGCACACAGTGCGGACTCTCGAAACACAACAAAACACGAGAGTAAATCCAGAGAGCAACAGCTTGACAAAAAACAATCACACATAACACCTGACCCAACACACGATAACTAAATAGGAAACAAAATCAAACACTAACAAGGGACAGGTGTACAAACAGACAAAACCAAACAAACATGAAACATTGAACGGTGGCAGCTAGTACTCCGGGGACGACGACCGCCGAAGCCTGCCCGAACAAGGAGGAGGAGCAGCCTCGGCCGAAACCGTGACAGTGACAGACGCTCCCCCGCCGCTACCATCTCTGGTGTAGAATATGTTTGAAATGCCCATCATGGATGAATTTCCTGTAATCTTAGTACTACTAAGATAATCTTTCATCCAAGATAATCTTTCCTAAAATGATCTTATCTTAATCCTATATGAAGCTTCCAGGAAACTCACCCCATGTTTTATTCAGGCCTACTGAACTGATTATATCTACATAGATTAACCTCTTTTACCTGGCGTATACGGCTGGGAACAAGCCTATTGCCAGTCAACATGATAATGTTTTCCTCTTTAAAAGAGTGTTTTATCTCAGCGTTAGTTAGACACCGTAGTAGCCTAATAGGGTGAAGGAGCTTCACACTCAGTAAGTCAGACACAGGTAACTCAATCAACAGAAGAGGCACAGTGCTTCTCAAAGCTGTTTCCTTTGTGATAATGAGCTCCTTGTGACGGTGGAACGACAGCCTCTGAGCTACTCGCTGACCCTGTATTGTTGGTCTTTTTTATATTACTGAGTTTCAGACAGGAGAAGATTCAATATATTTTGAAAGATTGATGGGTCTATGGGCTAATATTCTGGGAGAAGAGAGTGAGAGCGTGGTTTGCGTGCATGTATCCACGTGTCTGTGTGTCTCTCTCTCTCTCCCTGTGTGTGTGTGTATCCACGTGTCTCTGTGTGTGTGTCTCCGTTTGTGTGTGCTGTTTTGATGTGCAGCGGCTGTGTGTTCAAGGTTGATTTGGAGAGAGAGGCAGAGGAGCTGTTAGAGCCCCTGATGATACTAACAACACAACAGACTAGTCAATGGACTCTGATTACTGTGTTCTTAGAGTGGGAGGTGGAGAGAGGGGGGAGGGAGGAGGTGGGGGTTGAAAGATGGAGAGAAATAGAAAAAGGGGGAGAAGAAAGGGAGAGAGATAAACAACAGAAAGAGAGAGCAAACACAGATTCTCTTCCAGCTATGGAGAGAATTAGAGAAGCTGAGAAAAGAGAATGTGAGGTTTAGAGAAAGAGGGATGGCAAGGAGGAGTGAAATGAGAGGCTTTTATTTTTAGCTAAAGCTTAGCTGTTTTGAAAACCAGCGAAACACGAGTAACTGACATGATGTGGATTGATGTACTATATGTAGCCTACACTCTTAGAAAAAAGGGTTCCAAAAGGGTTCTTCGGCTGTCCCCATAGGAGAACCCTTTTTGGTTCCAGGTAGAACTCTTTTGAGTTCCATGTAGAACCCTCTGTGTAAAGGGTTCTACATGGAACTCAAAAGTGTTCTACCTGAAACCAAAAAGGGTTCTTCAAAGGGTTCTCCTATGGGGACAGCCAAATAACCATTTTAGGATCTAGATAGCACCTTTTTTTCTAGGAGTGTATGTACTGCATATAGTACCAATAATTTATTACATTTGTAAAGCGCTTTTCATTATACAAAATAATCTCAAAGTGCATAAAATAAACCACACACAATTTGTT